TGAAACAAACTAGTAGTGAATCCAAGACCAAAGGGGAAGGGAGAAGGATTAAGTAAGCTTCCCTGTCTCAACCTACCACTACCACTACCACTGCCACTATATTTCCGTCAATGGAAAATATGTGTACATCATGAAGAAGAAGATGGGTACAAATTACAAAAGGCTCCAAACTATAAAGAAGATACAAGAGACAGAGATCGATAGGGGAGGGGAGGGGAGAGGGAGAGGCAGAGACAAAGTGCCATTAAATGTTTCATTTTCACTGAGGAATTATTTATTTATTATTCACCAGTTACTTAAAACCAAAATTCATGTTGGCAAATGTTACATGTAGAAACACTCTATCCATTTTCTTTTTTCATAAAAGTTGAAATATGAACATATATGGGGGCATAAAAATTTTTTTCAGACCTTTTGCTAGTTATGTAGTTCGATTTAGGCTTTTCCGTTGATTGATTGGACCGAAGTGTTAAGCCTCAGACAGACATGTCGACGCTCCTTGTGCAGATGCTTCTACAAGGGTGCACATATAGTCCTATTTGGGACTCATCAGTATCTGCACAAGGAAGCAATATGTCAGCCTGAGGTCGAACACTTTGGTCTAATCATCATTCAACGAGAAAGCCCAAATTGAATTAAGTAATTACCAATACCCGTTGCACAAGACATGGTGACTGTTGGTGCCCGAATAGTCTAGTGGAACTATGGGCACTGAGTTCGTTCTTCAGTGGGTACACCGTCACTCACTGATTGGAGGGGGTGCAGGTACACCCAGATAAAGAGTCCCGAATAGGATGAAATACGCCTACTGGATTCTACTGCTAGTCACCATTCACCAAATTACTTCAGAGTTTTCTACTTATTTATCCTTAAGGATTTCATACATTGCTCTTGGGGTGATGTTCACTGCTGCTAGTGTTGACTAAAACTACCACAAGTAATGTGATGAAATTATGACCTGCCTAGCAAGCAGTTGGTTATCGTATCTCCACTAGTACAGAGTAGCATCAGACAAGTAATTCAGAGGCCTCTGCCTTGAATCCTACCGGGATCCAAATTTCACATTTCATCCAATACATAACATATAATTGATTCTTGGTAAATGTAACAGAATGAAGATGATGGGAAATCTTCCAGAAGGTTTCTATGATAGTATCTCATCCTCTTTTATGACTCCATCGATTATTGTATGACATTATGATGACGATAATAATAATTATTATTATTGTTGTTCCCTTGGGTTCCTAGTGAAACATAGGGCTTCAACTGCACGTCTCCACTTGCTTCTGTCTTCTGCTGTACTTTTCACAAGCATCCATGTTAGTCGATACTGTTTCAGCTCCTCTTCACACGATCTCCTCCATGTCACCCTAGCACTGAAGTCCCACTCGCCGCTTCCCTTTCGGGTTCCACTCGAGCTATGGCCTGACGCGCGATGTCACCCAGCGGCCTCCTCAGCGTGTGTGCGATCCATCTCCACTTTCTCCTGCATATTTATTGAGCGATTGGTTCTTGTTTTGTTTGTTCCCATAGTTTCTTGTTGGTGATTCATTCCAGCGGCCATCTGATCTTCAGTATAGAGCCAGCGAAGACAGTTGTTGATAAAGGTCTGCAACAGGCTGTTGGAAATATTCTTTGTGACCCGCCAAGTTTCTGATCCGTATAGAAGAACTGACTTGACGTTTGTATTGAAAATCCGAATAATAATAATAATAATTTCTTCATTTTTACTAAACTCTGTATTCAGATTATGGGTCATTGCACTACTTGTCTAAGGCGCTGAATATTCAACGAACTTGATCTTGTAACCTGAAGGTCTAGGGCTCCATTAACTTCCCGCCTGGTGGGATCGTGAGTCTGCACTGATAAAGAGTCCAAACATAGGAAGAAACAACTGTCCAGTGCTCCCTGCTTCTCAATGATTCTCTCTCTAGGCGACATTGCATGTTGTTTTTTCTGAGTTAATTGAACATTATATCGTGAAGGTACTATCAGTTATTTGACGCCGTTTTGTTAGAAACATTTTCTTCTTTTTCTTCATCTTCAGTATGCTTCTTCGTTTTTCAATTATTTCACAGGTGTTGCTTAATAAGTTGATTGAATTAACCATCTCTCTTGTATTGTATGAAAGTAACTTTTCATTTCACATAGTCGTCTTTTTGGTAGTTTTTTTTCGAGATAATCTGTTATTGGTGACGCTAATATATTTGGGCATTGAATTATGTCATTATGATTTCTCGTGTAGACACGAACTTTATGCAAAAAGAGGACACTGTAATTTAACTTATTTAAATTGAAATTATTTCTGATTGGATTCACAACAAGGCGTTTAGATAGAAATACTTCAACTTTAACTGCCAATACACTTCCAAATGAAGTCATCAATGACGCACAGCCATGAAAGCATCATCCCCGTACACGTATTATGAAACATTGTCGAGTCTGACTAGCCAAAGGAGATAAAGGAGAATACCAATAGTTCTATTTTACGAGCATCTTATCAACTATGAACATCGGGTGCCAGCCACTGTATGACGGCTTTACAGTGATACACACACAATTCCCCCAATATCGCTACTTATACATAACCAAATCATTGGCTGTTCAGGACCTGGAATTGGACCACTGAATTCAAAAGCATTACATACACTCACTCGCCTGCCTTATCATTGTCATAATTGTTGGACATTTTAGTCTACTATTATCTTCATTATGATTTTACAATTGTTTTTTTCAATTTGTGACATTCTATTGATTTTTTTTATTCCTTTACGTTCCCAGTGGAACATAGGGCTTCACGCTAGAGGCTTGAAGTTTCTGTAGCAGTGATGATTATTTTTGTAGCATGGGGTTGCTAGCCTCATGTCCAACCTCACCTCTTTACCAGTCTTACTACTGGCTTAGCGAGGTAAAGGAGTGCGTCGGTGGCCGGCGATCGAACCTCGAACCACCTGCTTGGTTGGCGAACATCCTACCTACTCTGTGCCACCAACGCACATTCTATTGATTAGGTATTCCTTTTCACAATTATTACGTCATTCAAACTTTCATTTCCTAACATCCACTTAGTCATATCCTTCCAAATTATACCTTACATTACGTAATACGTTCTATAGAATAATAATTACCAGTATAGATGATTGGTTTTATGAATTCTTTGTTCAATATAAGTACGATAGTACAGCTCTTGATAATGATTCGTCTAAGAGGAGAATTTTCTACCCTATCACGTCTGCTTTTGTTTATAACTCCATATGAGAATTTTCCCATGAACTATGTAAGCTTAGCTAATAGCTTGATTCCGTAATACAAAGTAAGTTTTCATTAAAAAAATAAACACAAGCGAATGTAAGTGACAGTTTTAAGAGGAAGTAACAAGAAACAACGAAATTAACAAAGAACCAATCGCCTAACAAATATGTCCAAGGAAACGGAGATGGATTGGTAGGTGACACCACATGCCAGGTCATAGAGGGGAATCTGAATGCTTAAAGACGAGATGGATACAGACAGGTAAAAGGGTGATGTTATGACGGAGTGTTACTGGGCTGTGGGGGACTATCTAACTTGAATAGTATCCACCTCCAGAACACAACACTATAACCAACTGATCGCTTGAAAGTATCTCCCACGCTGAGATAGGCACAAAAGTCAAACTGAGGAGAAACGACGATCGGAAAGCAACAGCAACTGCAACAAACGGTTATTAGACAAAATACATGGTATATCATATTTACAAAACCTCAGGAATTTAAGGCATAAATAAATAAATAAACAAATCTGATTGGTTGCTTGACCTCAGAAAATTAAGCCATGTATAGCTAAAGCTTCGGCTATGCATAAGTGAAGAAAACGTAAACTTTTGGATCGATTCGATTTTGCCATGTAGATAACTTTGAAAGATGAATCACGTGGGGCTAAATGACCTGACTCTAACAGGTGATCACAGATAGACGACTTCGCAGTTCTACGTTCGCCTTTCATTAACCAGACTGGATAGTGTTCAGCTACACGTTTTCGGAGATTTACTCTTTTACCTGGAGCTGTTTATATTGGACGTTGTAAGCGTAATCTCCGAAAACGTGTAGCTGAACACTATCCAGTCTGGTTAATGAAAGGCGAACGTAGAACTGCGAAGTCGTCTATCTGTGATCACCTGTTAGAGTCAGGTCATTTAGCCCCACGTGATTCATCTTTCAAAGTTATCTACATGGCAAAATCGAATCGACCCAAAAGTTTACGTTTTCTTCACTTATGCATAGCCGAAGCTTTAGCTATACATGAACAGAAACCTAAATTATGTGTTCAAAAACGTTTTGTCAAACCCCTTTCTTTACCTTGGTCATAGTAATGTTCTTTCTAGTTTTTACTTTATTTTATTTTACCACTTGAATTCTTTCCACTTCACTTCACATCTTCATTCTTATCGTAATCGTACTCCTAATTTTTTAAAATTTTTAGACAACACTTGACATTTTTAAAACATTTTTGATTTCAATTCACTTATAAAACAATCTTTAATAATTTTGTAATTTATCCACTTCAACTTTACCCCTTATAACATCTTAATTATCGTTATTCTTATCACATATATGTATATTGACTGAGCAAATATTTAGTGCCACTTAATAACCTTTTCTGCAATATAAATACGACTGTACAGCTTGAAAATGAAGTCGTTGAAAAGAAATTTCTTCGCTGAACAAAAAACTGTGTTTTTACTTAATCAGGTTAACATGCCAGTACGTGCATAAATCATAACTTCACCGAGAACAAAGAAGCTAGTCTATCCTAACAAGTGACGTGGAAGAGATCATGTGAGGAAGAAATAAGAGCCAAATGGGAAATTGTGGGGGCAGCTAAACACGACAGCACAGAACATGATGAAGTGGAGATGTGCTATTGTTAAAGTCTTATGTTTCATTCAGAACCTTAAGGAGAAAAAATATACCATAAGAAAATATACCATAAGAATAATAAGTTTAAAAAAATGAACTCACTTGATCTTAATGCTTTGACAGCATCATTCATACGATCTACATACAATGGATCTTCACTATTATCAGCTTCACGGGTAATTAATTGTAGGACACGATTAGCTCGTCGTGCAATCCGCGTAGTTGACTCTACAACACCAGTTGTAGATACTTCAGCAATATACTTCTCTGTTCTAGCAGTATCACGTAACATACCAGCCTCTATGTTAGATTGAAAATATAAAAAAGAAGGCAAAATAAATGGAGATTTTTTCTGAGAAGTACAAAATAAATTTTTTTAAATTATTAAGAGAGTGAGATGTTGTTCATTGCCTTAAGTATCAGATTTTCTGTTACGTATGCCTAGTCATCGCCTTCCTCGACAATGGGCAATGTTAGATGATATAGGGTCAGGCTGGAAAAGAGCTAGCGGCGGTCAAACCAAAACGTGGCACCAGTCAATGAAATCTACAACAGTTAGTCTAAGCCACGTAGGAAGGTGTAGACTTCCTGACTGGTTGGGGTCCTCGGGACGGTAAAAACCAATGGAGGCTGGAAACAATTGGTGACATGGCTCAAACTCATCGTTCTCAATGGCTGGCGCAGATGCATCCACTCCTTGTGACTTATGATTTCCAATGAAACTGTTTTGTTCTCCGTTATTACTATTCCTTTGTCTCACACCTCTGTTTACTGTCTCTAATATGCATTTCTCCTACTTTCTTCTCTTCCTTTGTGTGCTACAAGGAGGGAGTGTGGCGACTTGAACTGCCGCACAAATGTGCAAAGTTCTATGTCGAAAACCGACCTGGACCGAAGTGCCAAATAGGCCGAAATGCGCATCCTGGATTCCACTGCTAGTCACTGTCCACCAATTAGAGTGAGATGTTCATTGCCTTAAGTAGTCCATTTTTCAATCCATGGTTCCAGGGTTTTGAAATCCTCACCTCTTATTTCATCCATCAGCCTGAGCAAGTGGTTCGTATCATAGAACCTGTTTGTCTGTTGAACTCAGTTACCAGGAACAGATTTTTTGTGTACCAGATCATGAAACACATCGATTATGTGAGTGCTGATGATTATAAACCGAGTTGCCCAAGCTGAAGCAGATGGGACTCGAACCCATAAATTTACTAGTTGTAAGGTGAATGAGTTAGCCAATGAGCGGCAACACTTTCACGATCACACTTCGTGATGGCTCCAACCTCTGAAACGGTTACGGGCTCAAAAAAGAATACAGCATTAGAGTCTGTTAATAGTTGCCCGGAATTGGTTATGCAGAGTGAGTATTGTTCAATTGGATTATGGCTTATGTTGCCTGAAACATGAAAAATCTGGCCCAGCGTGACTGAGTTCAAACATAACAAATTCACTGAGAAGTAAAAGTGACTCCACTTGTACATTTTAACTGTAAAGAAGAGCAGGGGGTTAAAACAGGAACTTCGAGTGTCGACTGCTACAACCTACCATCACCATCTCATTATGCATTCATGAAGCATGCCTGACAAACGTAACCAAGAGAGTAACAGACGGAATTGTCAGACACACATAGACATCCTAAAACCTTTTCTCATAAGGCAAATGGAATGATAGAAAAATGAAGGCAAAGGATGAGCTGATAACAAAAACAGTAACCTCAAAGATCACGCAAATGACCACAATGTGTGTACAAGGAGTGGAAAAAAACAGTAAGTAAGTAGGCGGGAATATGATATGACCCAAGGGGATAAATACCTTGGTGCTTATTTTGATTTGACACTAGTAACTAGTGTGATGCGTCTAGTCTTCTCTTTGGTGCAGACTGAATTCTATCAGTCAGGTTATAATGTGGTCACCATTCTAGGTAGCTCGCCATCACGGTGTATATTGTTTGTGGTGATATTAGATGGTTGGAGGCAATCGGCAGGAAGCCTTGGACCGAGGTTTCGTGCTAGTTAGCACTCGTCAGCAAGGCGTATCTGCAACCCTCTGAGATTCGAACCCGAGTCACTCAGTGCTGCAGTCAGAGACGTCACCACATTACAACCTGACTGATAGAATTCAGTCTGCATCAAAGACAGGACTAGACGCATCACACTAGCTACTAGTGTCAAATCAAAATATCCACTACAGTCCTACAGGAGGTCAATCGCGAGCCCGAATAGCTCAGTGGTAACGCCTCTGACTGCAGCACTGGGTGACGCGGGTTTGAATCTCAGAGGGTTGCAGATACGCCTTGCTGACGAGTGCCAACTAGCACGAAACCTAGGTCCAAGGCTTCCTGCCGATTGCCTCCAACCATCTAATATCACCTTGGTGCGTAGGTGGTTCAGTGGTAGAAATACTCGCCAATCCCACCACACGTGGTCTAGAGTTGAATTTCCCGCTAACACATTCCTAAACCTCCCTTAACCGGTAATAAACCCGGTTAAGAGGGAAGGTTTTGCGTGAGGCTAGCGAATCCACTCTGTAACAAAAAATAGAACACCGCAATGCTACTGTCACTTCAAAGCTCAAGCTTGAAGGAAGATGTGGTGTAGCAATGTATCCATTACTTACGACAGGATCGATACTATCTAGTCTCCTCGTTTTGAGGAAAACTTCAACTGGTTAATCATCTAATCAATAAACGTGATTACATTTACCTTCGTTTTATATATATGCTGAAGATTAGATGGTCAGAAAAGATGAGCAACAGTGAATCGTACCAGAAAACGAACTAAGAATCTATTACCCAACAAATAAGGAGAAGGAAATGGAGATAGATTGAACCTACAATGAGAAGACTGTTGAAGAACATCACATAACACACATCCTAGATTGACACCCTCTACTGGAAACTGAATGGGAAACGATGCATTCGGCTTCAAAGGGTGCCATGGAAAAAGGCATCTTCCCTGTGGTCACAGTTGGGAAGCCAACTAAAAACAAACCGACTGTGGAGAATAAGTATACAGTGGAGATAAGCTGTTGTAACCATGATGTTCCACACGGAACTGAATCACATTAACCTATGTGTCAGCATAAATGGGAGGAACCTGAAAGAAACAACCTCTTTTATCTAACTGGGAAGCACCGTTTCAACTACACGTTGACGGAACTGACGAGGATATCAAAGCAAGAATCGGGAAAGCAAGACAAGCTTTCACTACTCTCAAGTCTGTGTGGAGGTCAACAGCACTCACCATCAAAAATAACATCCGGATTTTCAACTCCAATGTGAAGTCAGTCAGTGCTACTATACGGATCAGAGACTTGCACTGCGCGTCATAAAGAGCATCTCAAACAAACTACAGACCTTCATTAACAGTTGTCTTCGCTCAGTACTACTCAAGATCAGATGGCCAGCCAGAAAAGATCAGCAACAGCGAGGGATCTGTGGCAATGAGTGAATCAACCAGGAACCGATTGTGAAACAAATAGGCAGGAAGAAATGGAGGTGGATTGGTTGGCCATACTCTGAGGAAACCATCAAGTGACATCACTAGACAAGCCATTGCTCGAGTGGAACCCGACTGAATGGGAAGCGGCGAGTTGGTCGTCAGTGTGAGGGAGGGGTGACTTGGAGGAGGTCATGTGAATAGGAGATGAAAACGTGTGGGCAGAGTTGGAGCCAGGTGAAGACTCTAGCAGAGAACCGAATGCAATGGAGACGCACGGCTGAAGCCTTACGTTCCTCTAAGAATTAAAGGAAACAATAATAATAATAATGTGTCTGATATTACATTGACATAAGATAACTATAATATCCTCACAGTGTCCCAGGAATATTTTACACCCTAATATAAATATAAATTCATTTCTCAAGAGATAGAGAATTGGAAAAACAACAGAAGGAAAGGAAGTAGGAGAATTAAGGTCAACTACCATGTCCTACTGAAATAGTGTTCACAGAATATTAAAACTAACAATAATAAAAAAATCATTATTATTATTATTATTATTACTGCTACCAGTAAAAGTGGTAATTAATAATCTTGAAAATCCAGTTTATACCGCCTATTAACAGACACAGCCATTTAAGGTCAAAAGTTCAACAATTTCACAGAGAACCACCCATTATTCAATATTCATAACATTACAGTATAGGAAATATAATTTATTTTCTAATAAAAAAAGAAATACAGTGTTAATAGCAGTAATTTGTGTGTTCACTTCATCTGTATATCCATATGAATACATATCATGAAGTGTAGAAAACAATATTATCATTATACATATATTTTTTTTATTCTTTCACGTCCCCAGTGGAACATAGGGCTTCAAGTTAGAGGCTTGAAGTTTCTGTAGCAGTATTTATTTTACAGGATGGGGTTGCTAGCCTCATGCCCAACCTTCCTTCTTTAACAGCTTTATTACTGGCTTAGTGAGGTAAAGGAGTGCGTCGGTGGCCGGGGATCGAACCCCGGACCATGTGCATGGTCGGCGAGCGTCCTAACCACTGCACCACCGGCGCACATACATATATATATAGTGATATAATTTGGAAACTGCTTTAACACTACAACACAGTACCCTAAATCTTTACAAACCTCATTCAACAGCTATTTTTAATGATAGCACACATGTCAAGTGATCTACAATGGAAACTTTAGCCAAGCTTTTGAAGTAAAGACAGGAATAAGACAAGGCTATCTACTATTGCCAATCAGATTCCCAATTGTAGTGAACTGCATCGTGAAAAACATAACCTGGAGAGCAAAAAGACAGAAATACGCTGGGCAGACAAGAAGACTCTAAAAGAATTGGACTTCGTAAAAGATTCATGTTCAATGTCATAGATACTCAAAGACCTACTGTCGAAAACCAACAAGTTGGTTGAATGGGTAGCCAAGACAGGAGTTTAAGTGAACACAAAGAAGAAAGAAGTAGCGGAAATATCTAAACAACAACAAAAACAACCAAAAGCAACTACTAACAACGGGAGAAATCTAAGTCAGGAAGTATGTAGGGAAATATAAAAATAAAATAAATAATGATAATAGTGATAGTGATAACGATAATAATAATAATAATAATAATAATAATAATATTAATGACAACATGAGTGTCGAACTTGCGCAAGACAACACTAATAGTAAGGAATCTAAATCATCAGTAGTAATTCCATACAATGAAGGAACCTCGGAAACCCTACGCAAGAATAAAAGTGGCTGGTATTCAAACCACCCACAAACTCAATTAGAAACAAGCTTTGTCGGTTAAAGGATCCTGTAGAGCCTTTAAAACAAAACAATTTAGTTTATCTAATACCCTGCTGGAATGATTATCAGGTCAAATACATAGGTCAAACTAGTAGAACAGGGGCAGTCAGACTAGCTGAACATAAAAACTTAGCAAAATCTAGATTGGTTGACCTGAATAATAAGATAAGAAATCTGGAGAGTAGTTAGTTCAGCTATAGCACTACATGCAGTTACACACAACCATACAACAGGATGGGATAGGATGAAAGTTTTAAAATCTAATGTCACAGGGTATAGGGAGAGATTGATAACAGAAGCTTTGTTTATCGAATCAACTGCAAATACATGTAATAGGAATGATTCATCACATGTCCACCAAGATATTTGAAAAATTCTACTACCCCAGTGGCGACAAATAGGAGAGAACAAAGAAAACTATAAAACTCAAGTGTCAAAGTCGTGTGATTATAATTGATGAAATGATTATGAACAATAAATTGTGTTCGGAACTTTGTCATCCAGTAAATAATACTGTTTCACTGTGTGATATATATAATAAACAAACTATTATGGAATTACTTACTACCACAGTGCCCAAGTTTTACACATATGTTAACTAAGTCTAACTTTTACCAGTTGTGATGTCTTTTCATCATACAACGAACTAAACCGTACGATTCAACTGAGAATCAATCAGAAATGGATGCAGACAGCGGGGAGTTTGCAATTAGGAATTATCAGTCACAGGAACCTGGAACAACTTCAGATAAGTAAGTCTACACGAAAATCTTAGAGATTTACTGATGATCAAAGAAAATGGAAGGATGTTGAATGACTGTCATCCGAAAACTAGTGACTTCAAAGTAAAACTATAAGGCACACACATACACACACACACAATAACACTGAAAGATTGTGAAAAGGCGGTTTTAAAACTAGGCCAATCTACTCATATATCATCTTAAATAACAAGAAGACAACACATAATCAATAATAGAGTTTACACAATCAATCAACAACAAAAAATCGATAATCTTTTTCTTTTCTTACCTTGAGCAGATATAAATGCATTTGCATCAATTGCTTCATCAACTAGTACTCGCATACGTTCAGCTGTATCACTCCAATGTTGACGCATCATAAGAAAATGATCTGATGTAGCTTGTTTTAAACTAGCCCCACCCAATTGTAATTGAACACTTGGATCACTTGATAAGACAACAGCACGACCAGCTAAAACAACTTGTCCACCTAGCTCATTTAGTTGGCTAGCTAAATAACGTAGAGCATCTGCACGCCAAACATCTGATAAGGTAGTGCATGCAGCTAATTCAGCTGTACTAACAAGTTGATTACATTGAGCCTAGAATATGTAGAAAATGAAAACAATTAGGGAAATGAGTGAAAATAACAAAAAAAACAATGTGGAAATTTATGGCAGCTTTTGTGAAGAACGGACATATCCAGTTAGAGAATCATACAACACAGAATAGTGATTTATCAGTGTTTAACTTGCCTCCAAAGCCTCAGGATGATCGGGGGTGAGTGCCTTGCACTGCGGGCTGGCCACCTCTCCGCACACCTCTTGAAATGCTCCCATATGACCGGGCGTCCTACATAGCCTCTCCTGCGGAAATCCTACTCATCACTGCCTTCACGTGGCGGAGGTGTTTTTCACCAAAGTGAGAGGGCGAAAGCGGATGCCTGGCGCTCTTCACTGGGTTGACTGTCCATTGGATGACAGTCTAGGGGAGATGGCTAAACCCTGATTTCAAACCTCCAACGACTGGCGTATGAAGCTCACTGGAGCTCACCGGCAGACGTATGGACAAAAGGCTTGTTGGATGTCCTGGATGTCTGGCCCCATTCAAAAAGGCGTATGAACCGAACTCCGGTCACCGGCTGCCAATGGATAGTGGACTCCCTACTCCACTCCTACTGCCTTGTAGGTCACACTTGGTTGTGTAAAGGCTAAAGCTGCACTCTCAAGCAAAAGGCCGAGCGATTCTGGGGACATCACTCGTACCAAATTCCCGTGAAACTTCATGAACTCTCTTACAAACGACTCTATTCGAGATGTTCATGAAGCCGGCTCATGCTCCCGTAGGAGATAGCCGAAGTAAAGTAAAAGTAAGTAAGTGTTTAACTTCAAATACCTGGCACAGATGTTCAGTACAATGATTTAAGCACTCAGTTTCCAGTAAATCGATCACAGGTTTAAGTCCGGCTCCACCTACTTCACAGCCTGGGCAACTGAATAGTATTGTCGACCTTCACATGACAACTGTTACTCAGCCTAGTACTTGTGAAGTATGGTCTAGACGTTTGGCTTCCGATTAGTGGGCGGCTAGGGATTCAAACCCCACTCCATCTACCGAGGTTTGGGCAGCTAGGTAGTATATTCCATATTAGTTTGTTTATTGGGTATATCACACAGTGATGAAACAGTATTATTTACTGGATGACGTTTCGAACAAAATTTATTGTCCATAACCATATCAATTGTGATCACACGCCTTTGACACTTGAGTTTTATAGCTTTCTTTGTTTTCTCCTATTTGTCGTAGGGGGAGCAGAATTTTCCAGATATCTGGGACAGGTGTTGAATCATTCCTATTACACTTATTGGTTTACAGTTCATTCGATAAACAAAGCTTCTGTTATCAATCTCTCCCTTCACCCTGTGACATTAGATTAGATTTTAAAACTGTCATCTTATCCCATCCATCCTATTGTATGCTTGTGTATAATTGCATGTGTTGTACTGCAGTAGCTGAACTATTCTCTAGATTTTTTATCTTATTTGGGTCAACCAATCTAGATTTTGCTAGGTTTTTATGTTCAGCTAGTCTGACTGCCCCTGTTCTACTAGTTTGACCTATGTATTTGACCTGACAATCATTCTGGCAGGGTATTAGATAAACTAAATTGTTTTGTTTTAAAGGCTCCACAGGCAGGATCCTTTAGCCGACAAAGCTTGTTTCTAATTGAGTTTGTGGGTTTCAATGCCAGCCACTTTTATTCCTGCCTTGTTGAGAATTCTGCGTAAGGCTTCCGAGGTTCCTTCCTTGTATGGAATTACTACTGATGATTTAGATTCTTTATTGTTGGTGTCGTCACTAATATTATTATTATTATTATCACTATTATCATTATCATTGTTATTATTCCTATCGCTACTATCATTATTTATTTTATTTTTACGTTTCCTTACATATCTCCTGACTAATTTATCCGGGTAATTATTAATTTTCAAGGCTTGAAACCATCTCTCACCACAGTATAACTAGTCCTAACTCATGGAATGACAAGTGGCTATTGAATAACGCGTAAGGTATGTTCCAGGTAATTAAGCAAAACACTTCAACACAATCTGGAGCAGATTTCTTATATACCCGATTGAAAGCTACACTTATAGTGTGAGGGTTGATGATATTACTCAGTTGTTCAAGCTGAAGTCAGTGGTGTGTAGGAATCAAATCCATCATTCAACCACTTAACAAAACGAGTGTTTAATTCAATGAGTAACATCAATTTAAATTCATATAACCGACTATGACTAGTTTGTTAGATGGTTGTGTGCATTTCAATCCTTCCTTTAAAACGGAATCAAACTGACTGCTATAAAATATCTCCAAAATCAATAGACGTTAACCTTACAAGTTGAAATGTAGAAGATGATGGTTCATATCGAAATTTACAATTGATGATGACACTAATAATAATAATAATATTCAAGTGTTGGTTTGTAGGGATTTGATTGGTTACAGGATTTCCATCATGAGCTGACATTAGTTAGAGAACCATTGGAAAACCTGGGAGTACTGGACAGCTGTTTCGTCCTAGTTCTGGACTCTTCATCAGTAAGCGCCCATCGGGATTCGAACCCAGGACGTTCTGGTTACCAGGCGAGCTCGTATACCATTAAGCCACTGGGACCCGATCCAGTGGCCAGCCCATGAATTCTAACTTTTGCCAATTCACGACATAGCGCGACCCATAGCCAATGTCTTCAGCGAGTATTTGTCCTCACACCTGACCACCTGCTGCACCCTACTGGTCACGACTTCGCACCAGAACCCCAGGTAATCCCGGTGGGTGCGTACTGATGAAGAGTCCCAAACTAGGACGAAACAGCTGTCCAGTACTCCCAGGTTTTCCAATGGTTTTCTAACTAATGACAGCTCATGATGAAAATCTTGTAATAATAATAATAATAATATTGTCCTTACTGAATTTTCACTCAGTTTTGTTATCTTCTTCCGGAGTTCTACTTTATTAACTTCCTCACACCGATAAATAAATCGTCATTACTCCCATAAAGTAATTACTCAACATACTTTCCGTTCATACCTTTCCAATTGGCGTGAAACATAGAGCATGAAGGCATTTTTGAAGTTTCATCAGCGGTGATGTTGCCTTTATGATATGAGTCTAGCTTCACGTCCTCCACTCCACCCCCCCCCCTCCGCTAAACCTTCCCCATTTACAGGCTAACTAACAGCTAGTACAGTAGGCTAGGTTTAGGAGTGCATCGACTAGGAGTTGAAACCAGACCTACTCCTTGGGTGGTTGGAGAGAGTTTTACCACTAAACACCACTATCTAAAACCACACAATTATATCAACTAATATGTGTATATATAGGTCACAAATCAGGTAAGCATACCTACTTTAAAGCTTTTCTCAAGTTATATATGATCACCGTTTATTTTTATTCCTTCACGTTCCCAGTGGAACATAGGGCTTCAAGCTAGTGGCTTGAAGTTTCTGTATCAGAGTTTATTTTTACGGGATGGGGTTGCTAGCCTCATTCATGCCCAACCTTCCCTCTTTACCAGTCTTATTACTGGCTTAGCGAGGTAAAGGAGTGCGTCGGTGGCCGGGGATGGAACCCCGGACCATGTGCATAGTCGGCGAGCGTCCTAACCGCTGTACCACCGACGGACGCACATGATCATCGTTAGAAGTATGAAATACTATTATTACAATATAAATTGAATTCTCTTCAATTTAAAGAATATCTAAAGAATGTCTTCTATTGTTTAATATATAAAAACCAATAAATCAGTTCATATCATTAAAAAGTATATATACGTCAATTTAAGAAAAGTTATTTAATATTCTACAGAACTAAATTCGACATGAGCGCACATTAAGAAAGAATTTATTCCATGGACATATTTTTAACTTTATGTATGTATGTAGTGTGTGACATGATATTTATTATTACTCAAAGTGAATTATTACTAAATAACACAAATAAAATCCACAAATAAATAAATAAATAAAAAAGTAGATGACAGAAACGAAACTAGAAATTATTCAAACAAATGATTTCTTTATTGATTTAATAGTGAATAATTTAGAATTCTGTATACGTAAACTAATTTAAGTTAGATAATGATGAACACTGATAGATAGAGAAGACGGAGATGAAGATGAAGATAACCAACCCACCAGCAACAGCAACATTCATCATCAGCGGGGGAGATTTGACAGAGATTACTTCCTGCCTTCACTTATCTAGGAAGCAACATTTCAATCACAGGCGGATATCACGGATGAAGATGTCAAAGATGGCCAGCCAGCCAGCCAGCCAGAATCGGAAAGGCAAGATATGCCTTCATCAACCTGAAACCAGTTTGCAAATCTTCTGCACTCCACCGCAGCACAAAGAACAAGATTCGGATTCTATTCAACATAAATGTGAAATCAATCAGTCAGTCACTTCTTCAATGTGGATCAGAAACTTGCACTGCACGTGAGTCACGGAAAGGATTTCGAACAAGTTACAGACTTTTATAAACAGCTGCCCTCGCCGGCTCCATACTGAAGACCAAACGGCCAGCCCGCCGGCCAGAAACAATTGGGAACAAGCAAAGCAAGAGACGATTGCTCAACAAATATGTAGGAGAAAATGGAGATAGATGGATCGAGTATGCGTTGAGGAGGCCGTCGAATGACGTCGCGCTCTATGCGGGCCATTGCTCACGTAGAGTCCCAATGGGGAGCGACGAGTGGGTCGTCAATGCGAGAATGACATGGAGGAGATCGCTTAGGGAGGGGAGATGAGAGATTACGGGAAATCGTGGACACAGCTGAAGAGGACAGCAGCAAATAGAACGGAGTGCAAATGTGTTGTTGAAGCCCAATGTTCCACTCGGAACCCAAGGGAATAATAATAATACTAAATAACAATGTGATGTTACTTAGAGAATCATTGAAGATCAGTGAGTACTAGATAGCTGCTACTTCTTAATGCGACGGGAAAGAAAACGTGATCAGTGAGCCATTAGATTACATCTCAGTGATTTTGTAACTTAAAGTGCCTTGGTTTAATCACCGGTAGGGGGGCAACGGG